GCTGTGGCTACAATGTAGCTTGCCATCGCCAGTGTGTGAATGTGTGTGTGAATGGGTGAATGACTGAATGTAGTGTAAAGCGCTTTCGGGTCCTATGGACTAGAAAAGCGCTATACAAATGCAGGCCATTTACCATTTAAACCGCCCTCCTTGAGGTCCTCAGACTCTCCCTGCCGCCTTCCTACCTCCTTCTGCTCCATTCTCCTGCTCCTCGCAGGCAAGTGCTTAGCCGGGTGGGCCCCAAGTTACGCGTAAACTGGCCTTCGCGAGGACTGGGGGTGCTCTTTACTCCGTGGGTACACTGTGACCCCTTAGTAATGGCGATGGGGTATTTCGCAACCCCAATGCACATTCGTAAGTTACGATGACAAACACTGGGGTCTCAAGGGACCCCGAAACGTCGGAGGAAACAACTCTCAACTTCAGATCATCATCATCATCAATGTCTCCTTCTCGGCAGTGTTCGCGTAAACTGGCCTAAGTGAGGACTTCGGACTCTCCCTGCTTCCCCGTACTGCGACCTCCTTCTGCTTCGTTCTCCTGCTCCTCGCAGGTGAGCGCTTTGCCGGATGGGCCTTGGGTTACGCGTAAATGGGCCTAAGTGAGGACCTCGGGCTCTCCGTTGCTCCTCGTCTTCCTTGCTCCTTCTCCATCGTTCTCCTGCGCCTCGCTAGTGAAAGAGCAGCTGCTTGGCCTGCCTATTACGCGAACACCGCCCTCCAGTTGGACCTCAGGCTCTCCGAGCCTCCTCGTCCTCCTTGCTCCCTCTACATCCTTGTCACGCTCCTTGCTAGAGTATGCTTAGGTTTGCAGAGGGTGGGTTTTGCGAAAACCGCCGTCGGTGAGGACATCGAGCTCTCCGTTGCTCCTCGTCCTCCTTGCTCCTTCTCCATCGTTCTCCTGCGCCTCGCTAGTGAAAGAGCAGCTGCTTGGCCTGCCTATTACGCGAACACCACTCTCTGTTTGGACTTCAGACACTCCTTGCCTCCTCCTCATCTATGCTCCCTTTACATCGTTCTGATGCTCCTCGCTAGCGTACACATAGGTCTGCGGAGGGCGGGTTTCGCCAACACCCCCGTCGGTGAGGACCTTGGGATCTCCGTTGCTCCCTGTCTTCCTTGCTCTCTCTCTCCATCATTCTCAAGTGCCTCGCTAGTGAAAGAGAAGCTGTTTGGCCTGCCTATTAAAATTATACAATGAAACTTGTATGTTTTGGATACTTAATAAAACAATGTATGAAAGTAATGAGAAAGTGGCCACTTTCATGAGTAAATCATGTAAGCCTTATATGATTTACTCATGAAAGTGGCCACTTTCATGAGTGATCACATATAAGTTTTTACTATTTCTTTTCCATATGGGAGACTTGCACCGCAGTGTCGGCGTTTGTTTCCCTGTTGGCCATGCTTGTTGTTGTGGTCATCTGTTGTCTTCCGGTATTTTCTCCGTAAGCAACCTTTCCTCGACCAATGAGATGAGCGGTAATCTGAATTGTCATACTCGAATTGTCATAAGTGTGCTGTCAGCTCATTGGTCACAAAGCAGGAGAGGGGCTGGGAATTATGTTTTCAAACAAAGCGTTAATTCCATTAAAAGTTATAGACTACTTTTGATTCTCACTGTATTACGGGACAAAGTGCGTCCCTTATTAGCTCAATACGGGACGTGTACTTTTGTTTCTAAATACGGGACGATTCCGTTTTTTAAGGGACGGTTGGCAACCCTACCATCGACCCACCGAGTAAATGCCTGGTATGCCCGATGGCCAGTCCAGCTACGGTCTTGCCATCAGTTAACTACGCGTGCCTAGGGTTGGCCACTCCTGCTGTAAATGTACAATTTTCTTTCATTTATAATATTCCTATTTCAATGTATTATTTGCATTAAATCTATGAACATTACCAGGAAATCACATACCAGCAATAACAACTTTTCAATATATTGTATTTTTTAAATGAGTTTAGCTGCTGCAGGCGGAGAAAACCAATGAAAGAGCGAAGTGAGTATAATAAGATTTGACAGGTTGGTTGGAACTTAGAAGAAAAGAGTGTTCTATAAACATAAATGTTTTTATAAATCCTTACATTACAGAGATGCAAAATGATTATTTCTCAAAGGATTGACAGCAAAAAGAGAAGTAGAAAGGACGAAGATCCCCAACACAAAACCACATTTGAATGCTGCTTAGCATCTTTTTGGAAATTCAGAAAGATTTAAATGAAACTGAGGATAGAAAGCCAGAGCTATTCAAATGCTTCAAACAAAGGCGGAGTCTATGCTAAAGAAAAGCTTTGACAAGTATCACAGTCCATGAGTATCTCACAGACTTGATTTTAAAAAAAGCATCATCAGGAGACCCTGAGCTTCAAAGGTTCCCCATTATCTGCTGTCAAGGTGAGTTCTGCTGTAGAAACTGATACACAGTGTGTGATGGACCGAGTTGAAAAACAGAAGAAGTCCCAGGAATTATTAGAAAAATATAGTTTCCATTTATTTAACCCCCAAAAATTATATTTACAAGCGTAATAAATGTTGAGCTCAACTCTGAGTTGGTGACCAAATTACAGGAACGCGTGCCTAATCAGATCCAGAATAGGCATTTGAATTTGTTCACAATGAAACTGATCATAACACAAGAAAGTACACCTTATTAAGAACTATATAAACTGTATAACTGAAAGTAATGCAAAGCATACAAAATATTAAAACTGATATTTATTTACACTTATTTAAAACATAATATATTCAGAAATGGGATGTTGAAAATAATTGACATGGGACAATAAAATAAAATACTCAAATAATTAAATATATTTACCCTTTAAACAGGTTTATAGGTTCAAAATAAATTTCAGATAACTTTTCAAAAACATCTCGTAGCAGGAGTCTCAAACTCACAGCCCCCGGGCCACTTCCAGCCCGCACCTCCCCTTCTTCCAGCCTGTGAATTGATGTAAAATATATAATGCAATTTTGCCCTTGAAGTTACTTTTTGGGTTTTTTCTGCAATGAAAAAAAAAATTAAGTAAGTTATCATTTAAATTTCCAAAGTAAGTGCAGTTTTTGACTAGAGCAGGGCAAAGAAACCGCAGCAGCTGAAGAAGAAATGGTAATATTAGCAGAAGAAGAAGAAGCAGAAAATGTTGCTTTCCAAACCTAAAGGAAAGTGGATGACGTAGACCGATAATTTCAAGAAAGATGGACTCTGCAGTATTTTTTGTGAGTTTGGTTGAAAAGCGACCTGCCTTATATGTAAGGAGAAACTTGCTGTACTTAAGGAATATAATCTCAAGCCATGTTTAGTCGCATGAGACTAAACACGTTGAATTGTGAGAACAACAAGGGAGATGACAGGGGAAAAAAATTGGCCAAACAGATATAAAGAAGGCTACCAAAAACTACTAGAACCTTTTCACAAAGTTTATGCCGACACTGATTTTGCCATCCAAGCAAGTTATGGGGTTAGTGAATTAATCACTAAAGTGGAAAAAGCCAGAGGGGCAGTTTCTGAAGGATTGTATGTTGCAGGGTTGCTGATATGATCCTATGTCCTGAAAAAAAGAGCTTGTTCACCAACGATGTTGTGCCGGCAAACACTGTGCCACTGTGCAGATTAATGCATTATACAAGTAATATCTTTGTAAGACTTACAAAGAGTCCAAACCTTCTTAGTTCAGTTTGGCTGTATTCAAACAAAACAGCAACTGTGAATGGAATCTTGACAAAACATACTTACAATAATGTGCGGTACCTTAAATGTTTCAGTGTAGGGGTCCAGATGGAAAACACAAGTTGTCTTGTTGTCCTCAATCAGAAAAAACAGCATTTTGTGGAACAGAAATCAGCCTCTAACTACATTAAAGCTGCTTCCTGGAATACACCTCAGTACATTTAGAGTTACAACTGTTTTCCACTGGAGGGAATCAAAGTATATTCTTTGTTGAAATGCATTGCATATAGTCACTGGAACTCCTTGAGCAAATCCTATATATAAATAGAATCTGTCTATCTACCTATCTTAAAGACACAGTGATAGGTTTGTAGCTTGAATCTATCCGCTGGAACGTTGAAGGCAATATAATTACACTGCAAAGCAAGACACAAGTAGGCAAGCTTCTTCATGTTTCTCGTGCACGGGAGAGAACCGGACAGGCACCGTTCCTTCGC